ACGCGATTATTTAATTTTCCTTCACTTAGGAAGGTAGATTTACAACATGATTGATAAATGCCCTTGCAGCAGCAACGATATGTAACGCAACACACTAAACATGCACAACAATGGGCCTTTTCGCTCCACAAAGGGGTCTTAAACACTATCACTTAGATGCGTAGAAAATTTGTACTGTTGGAGCGCGTTTGAGCGCACTTGGTCAGAGCTGTTGAAGAAGGATCAAAGTGGCCATAAAAATCTTTGAAAGGTTTCAAACTACGACGTACAACGAATTTGACCTGCTCGAAAACCAGTCTCAAATTACATGCTAAAATACAGTGCTTGCGTTTGTCCTTGAGAACGATATAACACGTGACAAATACGCACGAAAAATACTTCTACACGTTCAGAATGTATCAAATTATATTTACCTATAGTGAAAGGAAAAAGAAATGACCTATTTTTTACGGAATATTCAGTCAAACTCTACCCATTTCTACCACTTTTGCCGCCATATTGAAAATAACGCTACCACAATGCAATGCAATCGGAGTCCGCACACCGCCTGGGGTGAATATCACTTTATCTGTTAAGTAGAACACGTGCCCCTCACCAAAAATACTATTGATAACAAAAATGCTTAGTCAGCAATGACCATATAAGAACAAGAATTTCACTTTACAACTTATGTCTGTGAATTCCAGAGAATCACAGGGTGCCGTCGCTTAGCCTTGGAAGGATAGCTGGTACATAGAGCCCCAAAACGAACGCACAAGCACCACCTGTAACAATCCCAAGTGTTTAATTTTATGTGATACCAAATGGAACGTAGCCAGTTAGCGATAAATAAGGTAGTTGCTGAATACTTGGTGTGATTTCGATAGCAAATGTGGTAGAATTATGTGTGTGTGTGGTTCGAACTAGAAGGTAACAGAAAACGAAACGAAGCTAATTAATTGACTTACAAACGATGGCACAGCACAATGACATATTCTTGAAATCAACTGAACTAATAATGAAGGAAACGATAAACTGAATCGAGCATAAACAATATAGGTAACTTACTTTGGTAGAGCTCCTAGCGTACTTGAAAAGCGCGGTGGCGGAGTAGACAAAACAATTTTACACTGAGTAACGGAGTGCACGATCTCTTGAAAGCGATCAAAAGATGGTTCTCTTTGCCGCAAGCTCGTATATAAGCGAATGACTGATATAAACTGCGTATCACTTTCACACCATTGTAGTAATCGACAAAAATAAACCGTGACATAGGCGGTTACGCAATAGCATGTACTTGAAGCTGTGGAACCTGAATAATACCGAAGTATAATCGGTTTATGCTGTAGAACCTGAATAATACCGGAGTTTAACGGGTTTATGCTGTTGTAGCTTTCTCCTCGACCGAAGCGTACTGTATGTGATTTTCGGGTCTTGTAGTGCATATGACACGAAAGTTTTTTCCCGGTTTTTGGTAGTTCAGTGCGACCTTTAGCATCGCGTTTACTGCAAACGCCAAACGGCTGCAAGCGGTTTGAGGTTTCTCGTTTGCCGTCGTCACCAAAATTGAATTTAGCATGGCGTTGACGTCTTTTGGCGGGAAAAGCCTACCTTTTAAGAGCCTTTTTATCTTCTTCAAGTTATTTTGAGATAAGGCCATTCATCCTTTCTCTACAAGCTCGCCCTGAGAGCACGACGGGTTTTTTGTCTTCCGAAAAAAAAGGGGAAAGTACCCTCGGAATTTCCTTATAATCAGCGGGACATTTTGGCCTTCGCTGGGCCACTTCGGTCGCCAGCATCACCTCTTGGCAAGTGTTTGGCTATCTAAAAGGCATTTTCTGGAAATGGAAGAAGGCATACATTTACGGTGGCCCATTAGGGACAACGCTACAAACCTAAAAAAAACCCAAAGTACAAAAATATACTACTGCAAACTAAATCAAATATACTACGAATAAAATTAAACCATTAACGTCAGTAATGCACTTCTACACAATAAAGTGAAACGCTACACACCGAATTGCACACTGCAAATGAAAGCACAACGCACACCTCAAATCAAGGGAAAACTCACTGCAAACAAAAAGCTAAGGCACGCCGCAAAAGGGACTTAATCTATGCGTGCGCATTTGCGCGTCAAGGCCTGTGACCGAGTCGTGTGCTCAAGTTCGCGCGCTTTTTCCTCATGGTTACATTTAAGATGGCGTCCAATTATGTTCGTGACGAAATTCGTGCAGTAGTTCGTGAGGAGGTGTCCCGAATGCTTAGTTCCCCTTGAACAGAGCGCGAAGTCAGTGAAGAAACACGCAAGCTTCGATCAGTCGTTTGACGACATTCTTCAGTACACCTTGCTATATCCCGACTTCCGAGAAGTGGTTAACGTTCCCGGGACAAACGAAAAATTTCAACTTCCGCATACAAACAAGCAATCGGCAAAGAGTTTAAGCGTTGGACGTTCTACTTAATTCCTGTCGACGACTTCACAGACATGTCAGATGAAAGCGACAGCGAAGCCACTGCCAACCCTGCCAAACAATCGCATTTGCGCGAATTTTTCTCCGGTGCTTCGAAAAGAGACTTAACTGGGAGCTCGGATGATGGTAATGATGATAAGGAAATCAGGGAAATGAATTGGTGCCCTTGGGATGCCAGTGAGTCTGGTACTTCAAATCAAGCCGGGGATCACAGAACTGGTAGGCAACTCTCATTTTTAAATTTTTGTTCTAAGACTAGCTGAAGGTCATGGCTCAAAGTCTACTACGCGTTAATTGTTTTTATTACATGTTGACAAGTCCTGTCATTTTGGAGTAAATTGTATGACAAATCACATGGTATTTTGTCATTTTATCACGCGAAGCTATCACGCGATACATTTCATAGATTCCAAAGAAGTCATGTCATGTTCTTTAATAGTGGATAAAGTGGGGTAGGAGGTCCTGGATGTTATAGAACGTTTACACCCATTATTAGGATTTTGCTTGTTTTGTTATATTTCGCATGATTAGCAGCGCACTAAGTGAGTTATTGGTTCTTTACCTTTAATAGAGACCGGTAGAATGTAACCGGAAATATTGACAAAGAATGCGTAGAACAATCGACAACAATGATGTAATTAACTAGATAATTGATAGTGAAATCGAGTGTTAAGATTAACGATAATAAGATTTGTCTAACAGACCCCTGCAACAGAAATTACTGGGATCAACCGATTAGGAAATTATGAAGACAACTAAGCCCTATCCAACCACACCACAGGTGGCCCAAGCTCTGTCACAGGCTCTTTCACAGTGAATAATTAAAGAGTTTGTACAGTGGTTTAATTGGACTTGCTTTTGAGCTCCGTAAATGTAAAGTTGTGTGAAATAATCAAAGAAATAAAGTCTTACCTTCGTAGAGAGTAGTCTGTGTTGTTCTCCTCGC